CAAGATCAGTCACCTGGCCAGCTCAGTATGTGAAGAGAGGAAGCCCTCACCTTGCACATCTTTTCAGTAAAGGTTGCTTGGCGCATCACACATCCTACGAGGTCAATGGAGAAAGGCGACGAGTTCTCCCAGTAACGCGACATCATCTTTCTCGTCTGCCGTTTTGCGTCTAGACTCAGACGGAAGGCCGTCACATTTTCTTGGCCGGGCCGGCTCATCACCTCACGTAAGTTCTTGGGATCTGCAAATTTACCTGTAAAGCTCTCTTCCATGGCATCTCGCACGGCCATAATGCTCGGGGCAGTTTTGTTTCTGGGCTTGAACATCTCGAGGATGTGTTCCGAGAGCCCGCGACGGGCCAGGCGGGTGGGGAAGAGCCGGTCTGGGCATTCCCCTGACATATCGTCTGAGCCGTATTGTAAAGGGTTGGGTAGACCTGTATCGAGGTCGAGGGTTGTTCCCGGCATGGCATGGTTGGATTGTACCGAAGCCTGGATGTCGTCGCGAAGTTTTGCTGCCCGGAGAGATTCGTGGGTCATCATGAGTCCGCACGAGGGGCATGCGTGGGCTAGTCGCCCGTCGGCGAGGCCTTGGCCTACGATGTCGAGTTTTCTTTGGAAGTATTGTCAGATATATGGCTTCCATAATAGCTGGATGCTAGAGCTACTAGGTAGAAAAGTCTGGAGTGGACTGCTGAAAGGGACAAAACTCACTTTGCACTCGAATCGCTCCGCGACACTCCACACGTCGTCCACGGGATGGAAGCCAAGGTAGAACACGCAGGGCACGGTACATCTTTGGCGTCAGGATCGTCTTCGTTGTACCAGGCGAGGTTCGTGTCCGCTTCCCAATGTGCTTTGCACGCGTCCGAGACGACGTATTCAAAACTTGGGCTGATGATGGCAGCGTTGACAATGGACCAGGGGATTCCTGCTGCCCAGAGGGAGCTGTGACCGTAGCGGAGGCAGTCCTTTGAGAATGTCAGTATTTGGACGACGATTGCGATAGCAACAAGGGGGTCTATTGACCTCAAGGTAGAGTCTCGGGTTGAGCATATGCGCGTGCCAGACGAGTAGCACATCTAGAGGTGGCAGCATCTCCTCGCGCCAAACCATCGGTTTCGACTCGGGGAACCCTTCATACCGGGCCCGGCTCCGATGCTGTCTACTCTCCCCAGTCTCATGCTCGGCTTCGCCTTGGCCCTTGTTTTGACACTCGGCTGGATCTCCTCCGTTAGACAAGGATAACGACTGACTAGGTTTGGACCCGATGACGAGCATGTCGCTCTCGAGGAGCATGTCTGGGCCGAAACTCCGCCACCATGCTGCGTAGCGGTCTACCGCGCGGCCGAGGCAGATTGCCCACCTCTTTTCGCGGAGTCTGATCAAGATATCCAGGTCGAGTTCAGGTTTGATTCCAGTGTCCGGATCCATTGGTGCTCTCTTGGTGGTCTTGTGGTTGTGTTCTTCGCTCTTCGTGCCGTTGCTGTCACCATCGCCATTCCGTGTTTCGGTGAATTTCATGGGAGTAATGGTGGTACCGGCCCGCGCATCCCAAATATCCCATAGACCATCGCGGTACCCTGTTTCCGTCTTGAGGCGGTTGAAGGCTGTTAAGAGGCGAAGGTGCGCTAGACATGCGTCTTGGGTCGGGAAGGATGATGGAATCGGGGTTTCAGGCGGGAGTGCAAAATTGATACCCATGGCGATGCCGGCTGGGACGGAAAGATCCGGATCGGAGAGCGCGGTACCGTGGGACAAGGGAGGGGCCGAGGCGGCGTGTAGAGCGGATCCCGGGGTTGCGGCGATTCCGGATGCGGAAGCGGATGTGGAGCCTTGGCCGTCTTCCGGAGGAGGAGGAGCCCGTTTGCTCCCTCCCTTTCTCTTCCACATTACGCAATGATAGGACTCTTCCCTGCCTTACGCGGGTTTCTTAATTCGAGTCGAATGAGTCGGGTCCGTTTTTATAGTTTCTTTCTTCAAGAGAGACGTGAGCCTGCCAATTGCTGCGACGTGGAAACTTTCATATGCGGCTGTGCTTGACCGTGTCGGTGAGTGAGTGGTATCGAGGGACGGTAAAGCGGTGTGCGTTCCTCAACCCCGCGGATCGTCGGTCCCTGTCCAGGGGCGCTAACGTCTTGCTTTCCTTGCGAATAGGCAGTTCCGAATTGGATACTTTGGGGTCGAGGGTTTTTTAGTTCGCAATTACCCTCTAATTCATACCGGATGTTGCGCCGCGTCCCTCGTTGCGGTTGCGAGTGCCTTGCGTACCGCCAGGTAGGTCTTGCGGGAGGGTGAAGTTGGAGTCAGTCAGGGTAGAGGCGATCGAGATTCTCCCGCTGCGAGATCTAATTGACGCCGAGACTCTGACCGAGATGTCCCAGACGCCGTGTACGCAGTACGAAGAAAATCGGATTGCGGCGGTGACTTGGAGTAGTTTATGAAATATCCATGATTCATCTCCACAGCATACATGCATGTTCCATTGTCGATCAGTGATAAAGAGCCGTTCGGTCGGATCTCGCTCGACAGGTGTGTGTGGTGCGTGGTTTGGTGTGTTGGCTCCAATGACGGGCACTGGTTGGGTGTGCATTAGACCCCGCAGGTAGGATTTGTCGCGGGGGAGCATGCCAGTCCAGAAGGATTCAAATGTTTGGAGCATGGTGACGTTGGAAGCGGGTTCAGTTTGCCGTGTGAACGAGCCATAGTGTGTGATGGGCATTTGCAATGCTTGGCGGTGAGGCGTTATCTTTGGACTATGAAAGTCACGTTAGAGTTTGGGACATGCAATTAAGATGTTCTTGGTTATATTGAATCGATTCTGGTATATTGCAGTAAATAACATAATGTGGGCGGTATTTTCCGCTTCCGATGCCTCAACGCCGTGCCATGCAAATTCATTAGATGTAAAGGTTAGATCCGACGACCCCTCATGTTCGCCAACCATGTTGTAGCTGTATCATGATTGACTTGGTTGGGAATCATATTCCTTCACGCATTAGACTCTCTCCTGGTGAGAGGTCCCGTCGACGGCGCTCTTGGGCTGCAGGCCTTCTCCCTTCTCACTGTGCACGCCACCGTCGCTGACGCTGGCATCAAGGTCTGTTCCAGCCTTCTGGCGGATGCGGTGCATCTCCTCAGCAGAGGGAGGTACCCATTGGGTGCTCTTCCACGGCTTGACGCCCTCCAAGTACATGGTGTCAATTTCCTCCAAAGTGCGTCCCTGACCCTCGATGACGAAGAAGTAGACAACGAAGCCAGCAACCAGGTTGCATCCGGCAAAGACGTAACCGTATCGGAAGTCAATGGCGCCAGTAATAAAGGGAGAAAAGAAGCCGATGAAGAAGTTCCAGATCCAGTTGCTGGCGGTGGAGAGGGACATGGCCTTGGCGCGGTATCTCGAGGGGAAGAGTTCGGCTTGGATGGTCCAGATCTTGAAGAAGTTAGCACGCGATTGAGGAGAGAATGGTGCGGACGCTTGATGACTTACCATAGGTCCCCAGGTGGTAGCAAACCCCAGAATGAAGAGAGAAGCGAAAACGATGAGCACGATGCCGGGGCCGACAGTATTTTGAGGGTTCTCGCGATCCAAGCTGAAGTGACCGACGGAGGCAAAGATCAAGAAGCAGATAAACATCCAGCCGGAGCCAACCATAAGCGACTTGCGTCTGCCATAGTGTTCAACAATGTAAAGACCGATAAAGGTGGTTCCAAAGTTGATAGCATTCAGGATGATCTGGGTGATGAAGGAGTTGATGTTGACAGACGAAAAGATGGTGGTTCCTGGAGGCAAATTAGACTCCATAATTCAGGGAAACGACATGGGATAAGAGGACTCACCGTAGTAAAAGAAGTAATTGGCACCGGTGAGTTGCTGGAGCATTTGCAGTCCGCAACCCAAGGCAATACGCTGGGCCATTTTCGGGGCCTTGAACATGCCAGAGAACTCCTGGACGGCATTGCCCTTGATCTGCGATTCGGCCCGGAGCTTGCTCTCAATCTCCTCGAGTTGGATGTGAATGCTATAGTGGTTCTCGGGAGCGCCGTAAACTCGGCAAAGGGTGTTCTTGGCACGCTCAATGTTGCCCATGCGGTAGTCATAACGGGGAGTTTCGGGGAAGGCAAGAATGCCAACGCCGAGGATGATGGTCCAGAGCCAACCAAGACCAATGACGATACGCCAAGAGCCTGAACTATTTTCGAGATGCGTGACAGTGCCGTAGTTACTATATCTCTGTTAGTTGTCTCTCTTAGGAATGCTGCGTTGGCTATGCACTTACAAGCACGCGGCGAGGAAAATGCCGAGGGTGATAAAAAGCTGGTAGGCACAAACGAGAGCACCGCGGATCCATGGCGGTGCAGTCTCGGCCTGGAACATGGGAACAATGAGACTGAGAGCACCGACACCGAAGCCAGCGACCAAGCGGCCAACCATGATTTGTTCCCATGCTCTTTCAGCGGCAATTTGAATGACGAAACCGATGGAAGTGATGAGGCACCAGAAGGAAATGGAGTACCGGCGACCAAACTTGTCGGCGATGGGGGCGGCGCACAAGGCACCGATGAGGGTACCGATGGAGAGGAGACCGACGATCAGACCGGAGCGGACGTTGCTGAACTTGATGGAGCCGTCGGCCTTGTGCTCGCCGAACCGGTCGAGGAAGTCGGGCATCTCCAGGAATCCGGAGATCTGACCCGTGTCATAGCCAAAGACCATGCCACCCATGGAGATGAGGATACCCATGGCCCATGATCGCCCCGAAATACGCTTCAGCGGGGAGTAGTCGAGATGGGCGAGGTCCTGACGGGCATCGCTTGCCTTCTCAGAGGCAGGATTGTATTTGTCGAACTCAATCGTCGAGAACCCCATGTTGGGCGACGATTTGTGTGGTGTTGTTGGTAGTGATGTTTGGTGAAGTGATGGAGAGATGTGCCAATGATGGTTCGTCCGAGACAGAAAGAAGCGTGTGTGAGGAGGACATGGCGGGCAGTATTATATGGATGTTTCGTCGATCGACAGACGAGACGAGGATTGAGAGCCGCTCGCAAGCGCAGTACGCTTATGCTGCTGAATGGGTGGGCAGAGTTGGGGGCGTCCAGTCTCAGTCGGCTAGGGGCGTGACGTCAAGAGAGGACCGAGGCCTTGGAGTCAGTCAATGTGCGAGGGAGACTACACTCCAGAGAGAGTGCCCGATGACTTGGGATGGACGGCGGTGCCACCGTATGCCACCGAAGTCTTGCCGTCCGGGGCCCGGGGTCTCCAGGTTGAAGGAATCGGCCCGTTCCCCATCTTTTTCTGGTGTCAGGCAGAGAGAAGAGACTTCAGAGACGAGAAGGAAGCCGAGGGGACGAAGATGCAGATTTGGCGGATGTCATTGGGTGTGTGGGCGCGAACTACGGAGGCCTGGTCCAATACTTCTGTGTAGTGTCAGTGTACACCAGATTACCAATGCAGCTCTGGGGATGAGAATCATGGGATTCTTGGGAATTGTGGAAACAGACCAGGCAGAAAAAACTTACAGCGTTGGCCGGGGATGACATGGTCTGTCGATTGTTCCCTGGCACGGCGTGGAAGAAAATCGTGAGATTGAGCAACGGCTGGATGACGTTGGTGGGCGAGGTGCGTTTTGTGGGAAACCCAGGGGGGCGTGAGATGATGTAAAGATGCCGGATCCGCTCAAGGCCGTTTTACAATGCAAAGTATCTTTTGCGCATTAACTTGGTGCGCGGTACCAAAGAAAGCCGTTTTTGTACAAGTATAGGTACCGGTACACTAAGGGAAGGTAAGTAAGGTGCAGGGTGTGCCGGAGGAACCGGGGCCGGGGTACACTACACGAGCAGGTGGTCAAGTTCTCTGGAGATTCTTTCACGGCATATTCGGATTGCAGACTTGGGATTTGAGAAGTGAGCAACTTTGTGTTTGTTAAACTGCGGATGAACATATGGTTAACGACAGACTTCTTTGATATGGAGCTTGGTGAAATGTCGTGGTGAGGTGAGCGACTCACAACACGCAATACACGTGACTCTTCTCTTCTGTCCGAATGTTCCTTCTCATCCAATTGAGGTACACAGTACACAAGTAGAAAGAGGGGCGATGAAATGAGGCCATCGTGATATGATACGGAATGTATCCGGCCAGCGAATCTTGTGTGGAAAGATACATTAGGTGAGTCCCTGGACAGACGAAGGAATGGTGCCGCGGCAGAGGGACGGCAGGCGCTGCCGGAATTGCTGCCCACGTCACTGCCAACTGCGCACCAGTGAGAAGGCACAATGACAAGCGGGACGACACGAAATGCAGTCGCGTTGCCAATCATCGCCAAGCTGCTTCCCGACCGGGTGGATCGGATCTCGTGCCAAGGGGCCAGTCATCCCAGGCAGGTTCTCAAGGCAGGTCCCGATCGCTACCTTCTTGCCGAATGCACATGGTCCCTTTGGCCCTTCTTTCCCTGGCAACTCGAACCCGAAATGGTTTACTGCGTAATTACTGCTCGCCAAGTGAAGGCACAAATGGAAGCCATGGAAGGGCAGGAGAGCCGCTTCCTCAAGTCTCGGTAACAGTCTTGGATGATGAGAGACACAGCCAAACAAGCTCTGCCGAACGGGGGCCCAAGAAATCTTGATTGAACCACAGCACTTGCCTCAATCCCGAACCCCTGCCTCACATCCTTCTAAGTTCCTTCCTCGTGAAAACCAGTACGTATCAATTCAATCCAGCCCCGCCAGCACCAAACATCAGATGACGTCGTTATTGAAAACACACGGAAAGAGAGAAAAAAGAGAATGGAAGGAACCCCGAGATGTTGGAAAAAGATATCGCCGCGACACCTTCACGGCCCACCTCCGGCTTTCCGTTCTTCAGAGCCGTCGTTGCTCTCTTTCGGCCCTTTTCTCCCCTCAACCTCCAGATGTCTCCAGAGTCTCCAGCAAAGCCCCAAATATTCTCCAGAAATCTCCAGTCTTTTGCCCTTTCTGCTGCGTGCGCAGCGTGTCACGGTCTCTCTTTTCTTTCCCCAGCTCCAGAAAACTCAGAGTCTCTTGCCTTATTCTACAGGTCTAACCGGTCTGTCGGTCGCCGTCCGAGGGAGAACCGACGCCTATTCTCCCCATCCTCCATCCCACCCACCCGAACCACGCAACCTACGCCATCTTCCCCTCGGGGCTCCCAGATCTGTGGTGTTCTTTTCTCTCTTCAATGGATCATTTGGGGCCCCTTCCGGGGAACGAGATGCGAATCAAAGGGGCCTCGCACCGTCCCCATTGTTTCGGCCTCCGCCACAACGCCGTCGCCCCCAACGGCCAACCACATCACCATCGAGCCCCGTCTTCCCCCGTACACCTGTCCGAGTCTCGACTTTTCTTTGATTTCTCCGGTCTCGTAAGAGGGGTCGTAAGACGAGGTCATGAGGCTCTCATGGGGTTCGGCGATTCCTAAGAAGACAAGTATCGTGCCTCGGCTTATTCGTCTCCACAGTTATTTTCGTCAGTCACGCACTCACCAGAACCACCACGGACCATACTTCCCAGTACTGTTAACTTCGCGACATATCGACGATACCCAATCTCCACTGTTATCACGCGTCACTTCTTTCCAGAGAACAAACAGCTTTCCAGCCTGTACGAGAAAAAAACTAGATCTCGATTGGGAATCAAAAGTCGCCCATCAGGGGACGATCCCTCCGCCCTAAGTGACTGATTGTCGGATCAACCACGTGCCTAGCCCCAACATTCGCCGTTCAGTTGCGCCAGTTCATCTCCATTACGATCCATCCGACTGTTACAGCCATACACACATTTTTTGATAATCGGCGCCGTCCACTTTTCTCGGTCGCACTGCGGTATCTCTCTGCATTGCTATGCGCACCTATTATACGGATCTATTATTGCACCTCACGATGGTCTGCACGGTTCCGGCTTCTCCGTAAACCCCCCCGGCATTACTCTGTCACTGAACTGCCAGGGCGTCCTTGGTTGTGCTCGCGGGAACGCTGGGCCTGCCGTGCTCCCTCCCGCAATAATCATTCTTCCCGTTTCAACTTCCGAGCTCACATGGCTCTCCCTGCGGTCCCGACCAGTCCCGACGATCCCCGATAAAATTTCGATGTCGCCGACATAGCACATCGGCACCTTCAGACGCGTCCACATTGCAGACCCAAGCGTTACGTGATCAGAGCTGAACGGACCGAATGCTGTTATGCGACCTACCACGTGGACTCGAAGCCATTGACCCCCGTCGGCTTATCAGCCAAAGTGGTGATCCGAAAGCCGTGTCGCAGCCCTTCCTGTGGGTTGTGGACGTTGTAGTCCGAGATGGCAGTGTGCGCCGTCACTCTGTTATCCCAGAGAGCGACAGTTCCCTCTTCCCACTTGACGCGGACTTGGAAGTCCTGGCCGTTGTTGATATGCTGTTTCTTTTTGTCAATAGGGTTCAGAAACCCGAATGCTGGTATCACAAACCTTGAACAGGAGCTTCAGCAGCGCATCTGATTCCTCATCTCGAAGGCCGACAATCCTCTTTGTGAAGCCTGGATTGATGAATAGCGCCTTTTGGCCAGTTGCCTGCGACACGGAAGACATTAGCGGGACGGACTTAATCGCGAGCTACAAGTCATGGCGACATTACATACGGGATGAATCCGAACAATGGGATGCTCCGACTTGACCGGCTCCCTCCGCACAAATTTGCCGTCTCGACGACCGTTGTCGGCTTGGGGAAAGCCGCTGTGTTCTGCTCTCAACCCCTCGAGAAGAGCTTGTATCGGCCTCGACAATCGCGCATACGCCGCCGTCTGAGAAACCCACGCCGTGTCGCCGCCCGTCTCAGGTACAGAGAGAAGTGTAAGGATCGTGACGCCCGGTGATTGGTGCTCATACGACACGTCTGAGTGGTACCCGATGGTCGAGAGTTTGTTGCTCTTGCTTCGGTTGCGATACTCATTGTCCGGACCCAGGTAGATGTTGTGCAGCTCGAGATGGTCCTTGACATGCGCGCCGACGGGCTGGAAACTTGTCAGCAAACTCTTTGCCGAAATGGCAGTGTGAAATGGCCACGAACGTGGATGTGGAGAGGACCAAAGTATTTCCCGAATTTCTTTTGCTTCTCGATGCTGATGTCCTTGAAGTCTTGGTCTCGGAACACGACGACGCCGCGCTCCGCGATGAGAAGTGCAAGCTCGTCTCTCTGTCTGTCGTTCAGCTGAGATAGTTGCAAGCCTCGAATCTCGGTGCCAATGACTGGTGTCAGCTTCGTGGCCTTGATCTCTTTGTTGTCCCTCGGAAGGAGATTTAGCTTCTCCTTGTTCGCGACGAGACCGCGGTCGTTGAACTCGAATGGCTGTAGCGGGGGAAAGGATGTCTTTTCGTCGTACACCGGCAAGTATTGGGCGTATTTGTACTAATGTCATTCTCAATCTTTTTACCTTGATACAAATCAAGTGATGTATTAATGGCATACCTGATCGTGGATCTTATCATCGTATGCCAAGGTCAGCTTGACGGGCGCCGTCTCAGCGTGAGTTTCGGTTGCAGTGGTTGTAGACATTGTAAGTGATGGTTCTTTTTTCTTTCTTGCTTCTGGGTAATCAAATCGAGAAGTTCCATCAAATGTTTGATCCGTCGCGTATCATGGCTGGTTCATTGGGCCTGCTTTAATATGATGTGTACCGAGTCTGGTATTCTAAGAGTCAATCGCGTCAATCGACGTGATATGGCGATTACTGAAGCCATTCATCCTTTGGCTCGCGCCATTGCGACTTGCATGCGGGGAAGGCAAGATAACAGCATCACTGTGCAGTATCACCATTGTGACTGGACGCGAGATCCGGAGGGGGTTCGGATGTGAAGCTTGCGTTCATCGGCATATTCCAACACCACAGTCATTGGGACCTACACTGTCCAACGAGGACGAATCAAATGGTCTCGCCCTAGCTGTACCGCTGCTGTGTATTGCTGGCAGTGACACTGGCTTCGTCCTGTTGATCCATCGGCATTAGTCGACGTGGTTTACGTGATTTGTGAAGAGGATGGCATCAAGTCCGATAGTGTCCCGATGCCGAAGATGACGCGGGACCGCTTCGGCGAGAGTGGGGTGCCCCGCACCGGCTCCGGAAAACGTGTGACTATACCGGGAGAGAATCTTAGGCTTCGTATGTCGTCCCAGACGGGAAAACAGTCCTTGGAAATGGAATTGGAATCGCCAGCGAATCCTGTCCAGACAAGGCACTCTGAGGAGTCGCAATTCTGGGTCGATCCTATTTTTGGGTTAATGAAGTGCTTAGTTCTTCGGCGCCAACACTGTGGCACATTCGGAGTATCGGAAGGCCACAATCTAGTTTCCAATTCTTTTCTTTCTTGTGCTCTTGTCGCCGGTATATAGTAATGGTTTCCTAGCAACCACCTACAATGTTCGCAATATGATAGAACCATCACTTCCTCGGATGAGAATGGGCAAATCTACGCCGATAATCCCAATTCTTCATAAAATGGCTCCATACGGACCTCACGACCAAGAAACTCCAACAAGGTCGTCATCTCGG